CCGTGCAAGATGCCCCGTAAGCAGGAACACGTGCTTCTCTCAACTGGGGAAACTGAGAGATCAAAGGAGCGTTATAGAAACCCCAAGCCGAGCTCAGAGCACCCTGCAGCTAGAACAGGATCCCGGCAGTCAGAACAGAAAGGGACCATTGACGACAACGTCCCTACCATCCCTGTGGCCACAGGACACTACCCCAAACACAACGACTGCTCAGGTTTTCACTCCGAGCGAACTGGGAGGCAGGGACTGCTGTCTCAGTCATTCCTGCTTTGCAGATGGGGGAAACTGAGGCACGTGGTTAACGCAAGAGCAGCTAGGTAGCTGTCCCTGAAGTCAATGAGGGCCATGACATCCTTCACCATACAGCCACATGGTACCTCAGCAGGCACCCGACACCCACGTGCTACACATACATAATGCAGGCCAAACATTCATATGCTTAAGAAGTGAGATAAATCCTGCCTGCCCATGGCTCATCCTCACTTCTCCCCCACTGAATAGGGTCTGATGAGTGACCTCTCACATGGTGGCCCTGTCCCTATGAAATAACAGCCTGACCCTCTCCTGAGTCCTGAGCCTGGAACACTAGCCAGGCCTAAGAGGCAAAGTGGGAGGGGGCTCTTTTCTCCCCTTGAGTGACATTTATCACCATGAGGCATATTGTGCTCATTTCAAGACTCTTCGGCATCCCCCGTGATTTCTCCATTGAGCTCATAGGATGTCCTCTGGCATGCTCTGAGTTGGGAACCTTTTTGGGTACTTGCGGCAGAGGCACGTGAATGAACCTACTCGGTATCTTCACCAGAGTCCGCGGCATGATTGGGGCTACAAGGCAGCGGTAGTCACTGCCAAACTACGCAGCGATTCCCTAGTAATAGCGGGGGTCTGCTTCCTGGGCCATGATCTAGCCAAGTTGATGCAACTTTGCAAAGAGGCAGGGGCCATGACCTAGAAAAGCTAAATAAGCCCAGCAAGCATCCCACTTACACCACAAGTGCTTATGGAGACGCCAGCTCTGCAGAGAGCAGAGGCAGAAACGGACCAGAAGAAAGTGCGCTCATTTCAGGGTCCAGACAGGAAGATCCAGGAGGCTTGGGGGTGGGGTGGGGTGGTCTTAATGTACGCTGTAGCCATTGAAACAAGATGTTAATGTGTCCTGACACTTAGCCACTTGGCAAACTCACCTTATCAGCATGTGAGCCCCTAACAGCACAGCAAATACTCCAAAGTCAAGAACAAAATGGCTTAAATCGCCTCCTGTTCCAGACTCAGAGTGATGATAAATTGAGCACTTGACTGTGACCATTTTAGACGTGTGGAGGTTTTGAAATGGTAAAGAATGAGTCTGTAGAGAGAGGTCAGAAAAGAGCATCTGAGAAGGACCCGACCTGAGCCAGTCCGGACCCTGGGGAATTTCATCTCAGGAGAAGCCACTGTGGAGGCTTCGGGAGGGAGTGCCACCGACCCGCCCCAATCAGATTGGCCCGTGGATAAGTCTGAGGGGTATTTTCTTGATTGGTGACTGATGTAGGCAGGGTTCAGCCCACTGCGGGTGGTTTCACCCCTGGACAGGTGGGCCTGGGTCATAAAAAAAGCAAATTGAGCAAGCCTGGAGGAGCAAGCCGATGAGCAGCATTCCTCCATGGCCGCTACTTCAGTTCCTGCCTTCCGGTTCCTGTACCATTTGAGTTCCTGCCCTGGCTCCCCTTTATGATGGACTGTGAGCTGTAAGCCACATGAAGCCTTTCCCCGTCTAAGTTGATTTCCCTTATGGTGTTTATCACAGGAACAGAAAACAAACTAGGGGGGGGCAGCTGGTATCAGAGAGTGGCATCTTGCCGTGATGGAGCTGACCGTGTTGTTTTGGCGGAGGATGATGGAAGGATTTGGGAGCTTTGGGCTGAAGGGGCGTTTGAGTCCTCGGGCCTTGGTGGGCAGCTGTTGTATAAGGCGGGAGGATAATGCTAAGAGCAGCACAGACTTAGCTTATGGGTATCTGAGGGGAGTTTGGGAGTTTCTCAGAGACCCTATCAGGGCCGCTCCTTCGTGTGATGTTTTAAATTGCAAGCCTGGTTTCTCGTTTGCTGGGACTGAAAATTAAGCTGTGGTTAATGAGAGACCAGCACCATTCAGGAGGAATCTTCTAGAAGGTATTTCTTTGGGGCTGGCACACAGAAGCAGTGGTTCAGAAGGCTGCACCTCAAGCGGGCAGGCAAACTTAGGAAGGCGTGGAAATACCCTACGTGGACCTGGTTTGAGGGTGCAGAGGGTGAGAGGAACCTACGGCCGGCAGGGCTGGAGTTCCTTCAGGTAGGTCAGGAGGTCATTGGTGGGGTGATAGCTGCAGCTGTGGCGGAGGCTTCAGGCTTGAAGGGGTCGAGGAGAGAATCTGAGGCTTGATGTCATGGGGGCAGAGGGAGAGTCCCTGAAGGGAGACCAGGAAGAAGATAACCGGTCCAGGTGCAGCCTCGCTTGCATGGGTGACCCCAGGACTGAGGGGCTCGAGGAGAGAAGCTGAGCATTGGCAATGGGAGAGATCACTGGTGAGGGTGAAGCCTTCGTTTCAGGGGTGATGTCAGAATACTGGAGATGCTGGATGATGGAGTGACCACTGGGGGCAGTGACGGGTGTGGGGTGGAGTTACCCTGAGCATTGCAGGACAGGCAGTGTGTGCTGCGGTGGCGGAACCAGAGGGCTGGGACTGGTTCATGATGGAGTTCTGCTGTGGGAGCACATTCTGCTCCTTCAGCCAATAGCCTTTAAGATACTAGCCCACTAGGGTGTGGTCTCTTTTGCTTTAAAAAGCAGCAGGTAGCCGTGTGCTCCAGCTCTCTTGCTTCCCGCTCCCACTTCTGGCTGCTAGACTCTGTTCCTGGTCACGCCAAGGGCTGTTGTCTAGGACAGTGATCTGGAAGTTTTCCCCCTTAAATAAATAACCCTTTTATTAATCATAATTCCAAACTGGTGTGGGATTATTTTGTGACTTAGGTCTTCAGAGTCCCAGATGTCAGACACTGAACGGTTTACACTGTGGGAGTTTGGCTTTGCCTTGGTCTGATTCTAACTATGCCCTGGTTCTCCCCTCTTGAAATAAAAAGTGTGTAACTTATTTTGAGTTTTATAGGAAGCCACCGTTAAGAGGCATTGAACTTTTAAAATGTGGGGGATTTTTCTGAAGACTGTGGGACTTCTCATGCTGAACTGCGTATTATGTCATGAGATTAACAAGAGGTCTCTTCTCACCATGGGCTCTGACATGGCTGCACAGATTCTAGCCCTTGATTGTGCATGTATGTATGTATGTATGTATGTATATTTTAAATTGGGCCGCACATGTAGCACTGGGCAACATCTGGAAATTGTTTCTCTCCAGCCATCATGTGGATCCCTGCGACTGAAATCGAGCCAACAGGCTTAGCAGCAAGCACCCTCGCCCACTTCACCCACGGAGCCGTCTTACCAGCCCCTCCCCGTCTTGGTTATCTTTATTAGCATCTCTGGCCTCATTCTAGGCAAACACAATTCTTCCCAAAGGCTGTAAGAATACAGAGAACGGTTGTGCGTGCTGGGAAGGTCCACAGGGCGCTAGGATAAACAAGACAAATGGACGAGGCTCTGAGAAGTTGTCGAAAGTGGTCGCTAGGATCTGGGGGTGAGTTTTTAAACTAGTGAGTGAAAGTGAGGCCGGCTGATTGATGCTACGGAGACTCTGTTTCCTCCTGGATGGAGGTGGGAGGCTTAGGAAAGACACAACGAAGGCACAGGGCTTACTGAGCCCCCTGAGGTCCCAGAAGCAGGGAAGCGGTAGCCAGGGAAGAGGAGACTCTTCAGGGGAACTGTCTGCAAATTGGGCAGGAAGCCCCAGGATGCATCATCACACAGGCTGGATGGGGCTTTTGGTGCTGCCACTAGTTGCCTTTGAGTCACCCATGGTCCTGCCAGTGACACCAATAACCTCCCTGGTTCACCAAGATGGACTGGTGTACATTGGTTTCCTAGGTTTGTGGATGCCCTCTCTGTTGGTGTCGGTTAGCAAACACTCCCAGCCGGCCTCTCACCATGTGGCCTAACAAAACAAGGTGGTGGAAGCGGCGGCTCACCCTGCACGGATGAGAATTCCACTCAGCAGCACAGAGGACTGAAGCCGTAGCTCGGATACACTACTGGCGCTGTACTATAACTTGGGTGGACCTCCACACGCGGCAGAGAGTCTCAGAGGCTAGAAGCCAGGATCCAGGCATCAGCAGGCTGAGCGATTCATGAGCTGCACTTGCTGGTTTGTAGGCAGTGGCCTCTTGCTGCATCCACACGCAATGAAAAAGTCAGGGCAACTCTCTGGGGCTTTTTCTATAAGGGCACTGATCACATTGATGAAGGCTCCCTCATCCTCTTAATATAGTCTCCCCCCGCCCCAGAGACTTTATCTTAGCACATTGCAAGACAGGATTATAGCAGAGGAGTTTGGAGGGAAAGATACACAGTGGGAAGTCAGGAACAGAAGCCACGTGAAGACTGAGTGGTAATGGCCAGGCAGATCCCATCGGGCTAAGAGCATGGAGTATACTTTGTTTTCCAAAGTGCTTGGGGCAAATGAAAGTCCATAGAGGCCAGTGGCTTGATCTGAAGCTGGGTTCCAGAGCAGTTCTGCAGTCACAGTCTGAGCAGTTAAAGGGTTCCAAAATACTTCGGACCATACATAGAGTTTGGCCTATATATTTTTAAATAAGTTTCTCTTTAAATGAACCACCAGTTTTCCCATAAAAATTATCTAATTAGTCTTTGCAACAGTAAATTAGTTTGAAGTAATTGCAATCTTTACAGTAAGTCGGCCATAAAGGTGAACAGCAGCTATAATCTTTAACTTTGACCTGATCTCCTCTCTCTGATACACACACACACACACACACACACACACACACACACACACACACACAAATAAGAAAACAAAATCAGTAGGAAAAAGCAGCCACCAGCTAGAAATTCATAGCACACGGACTCACCTCAGGACCTACAATCATCATGTAAACATTGGGCTCTTCTTGATGCCATTCTTGGGAAGAAAAAGAAAGAAAAAAAAGATTTTAAATAAAGGACCTAACGTGGCTTCAAGTCACAGCTGAGAAAACAACTCAGCTTAACTACAAATTTCTCCACAGCATGGTTTGTGCTCTTAGGTCTTTAAGCATTCACCCATGCTAACCAGGATTGATTTCACTTATTTAGAATGCCCATGTGTAGTATTGTATGTGTTTACGCGAAGATTTGTTTCTTTGGGAGCTGAAGCAATGGCTCAGCGGTTAAAAACATATGCTACTCTTGCAGAGAATCCACAGTTGGTTCCCAACACCCACATGGTAGCTCACAACTGCTTGTAACTCCAGTTCTGGGGTGGGGCAGCCCCACGGCCCTCTGCTGGTATCCACAGGCACTGCACACACATCATACACAAACACAGAAAAATAAGGGGATCTTTACTTTTTTAAAAAAAAAGTGGTAAGGGGCTGGAGAGATGGCTCAGGGGTTAAGAGCATTGGCTGCTCTTCCAGAGGTTCTGAGTTCAATTCCCAGCAGCCACATGGTGGCTCACAGCCATCTGTAATGAGTTCTGGTGCCCTCTTCTGGCATGCAGGCAGACATGCAGGCAGAACACTGTATATATAATAAAAACATATTTTTTTAAAAGTGGTAGGATTTTAAACAAATCTTTTAGCCTTATAATTATTTCCAATTTTTCCACCATCCTTCATACTGAAGTTGCAAGTCTACACAGAGATAGTTAGCCAATAAATCACTCTTCTGGCTGTTTCCAAAGTGATGATCTAGAAATAGTTCTGCTTATGTGCAAAGAGAAAAATAAAAGAGAAAGAAAGAAAGAAAAGTGGTCCCACCAGGCAAGATGGCTCGTGGTGTAATGCCAGAAATTCACTTAGGAATCTCAAGCAGGAGGACTGGGCATTCATGGCCAGCTGGGGCCATCCAGAAAGAACACAAGACCAAGCAAGGCATATCTCTATGCACAAATCCACACGACAAGGAAGGGAGACACTGGACCAAATACCTGAGAATGCGTCTACCAAGTACAGAGGGTCCTTCACAGGCCTGAGTCCACATATTACCAGGAACACGTACAGGTTGTCTGCGTTTTGGTCAATCTCTGCAACGTAAGAGAGGGGGCCACGTCAGTGGGGGTGGGGGAATACAGCTACGCAGCAGCGGTGACATCACTGTGGCCTGCAGACCAGAGGTCCCCACATTGGCCTTCTGAGCCCTTGTGTGTCCTCTGACTGCCTTACTACACATGAGCTTCTCCATGCATAGATTAAACCCGAGCTTCACTCTGCCTGTGAAATGCAAGGTCTCTGCCCTAGAGAGGGAGCGACGGGGCCTGGGAGAGCTGCCCAGCCACTAGTGATGGGATTGAGCAGTCCCAGGAAGGACGTGGGCACAGTTCCAGTTGAGAAAAGTGTGAGTTCCTTGATGCAGCATCCTCAGGAATTCACAGATGCACGCTAGGTATGAGCATATGTCCCCGGGAACAGAAAACACACACAGCCGTCTTGTCGTCCTGTTATTTTTTTCGGTATGTGCCAGTTGGATTTGTCAACCATACCTCAGAAAACTGCAACCGTTCTAAAAGTAGATGTATGTTTGTAGAGAAGGGTTTGTTTTTTTTTTCCCCCTCTCATTTGTTTCTGTTTTGTTTCTCGTGTGTAGCGTATGAGATAGTGTCTCCTATAAGAGTCCCGGCAGGCTGCAAGCTTGTTATGTAGCTGAGGAGGACCTTGAACTTCTGATCCTCCTGACTCCACCTCTTAAGTTTAGGGCTACAGCCACATACCACCATGCCCGGTTTATGTTGGGATCAATCCCAGGCCTTCCTGCATGTTAGACGAGCACTCTACCAATGGAGCTATCTGTATAGCTTTGAAAAAAACAGAGAGGGAAGGGGGCTGGAGAGATGACTCAGCAGTTAAGAACACGGATTGCTCTTGTGGAGGACCCAGGTCCAGTTCCCAGCACCCACATGGTAGCTCACAAAGCTCACAACCATCTGTAACTTCAGTTCAAGGGGATGTGGTGCTCTGGTGCCCCCTTCTGGCCTCCATAGGTACTGCACAAATGTAGTGCCTAGACATAAGTAAGGGCAAAAGAGCCACTCATGAATAACAACAACAACAGCAATAATAATATACAAAGAAGGCCTAGGAGTGCCAAATCTGTGATGTAGGACCAGCAGTGAACACTACGCTTGGTGCCTCTTCTCATGACAAGTGAAGCTGACTTCCTCACCCCTGACCTCTAGATGGGGTGTGAGCCTTCCTGGCCAACAAAATGCAGGAATATGTCCATATATGACCTTTGAACCTTGGCTGTGAGAGGCCTTATCACTCCCTGGTCATCTGACCATACCACTTTTATGGGGAAAAAAGACTTGATAAAGAGACTCATTATGGCAGAGTGAGGTCCCAGACCAGAGGTGACACTGGGTATCAGACACATGTGAGCAAGGAGGGGACAGCACTGACGGGCCCGGAGCAGACAGAGGCTGCCCAGCTGAGACACAAACCACAGCAGTTCACATCCACAAAAATCATGAGGAAGGGCCATAGTTGTTTGAGACCAGGAGATGTTGAAGTGTTTTATGGCAACTGGTAGATAATTGATTTGATGGCAACTATTAACAGACTCAGCAGAAAAAGCTAGTCTAAAATATCAGGGTTTGCAGCCTTTGTAATTGGCCATAAAACCAGGCACGGGCAAGGCTGTCTTCCCGAGGATGGGCATTTGTCGATTTCCGTTTCATGAAAACCATTTTCTGAACTTACCTAAGTCTTGAGAATGAAAACGGGGTCTGTGTCATACATGTAGCTCAGTGCAGGAGGGACATGGTCAGCAAAGAGAACAGCGAGAATGACTCTGGACAGAATCACATTGACAGGGAAGACTCCCAGCCCTGTCTTAGAAAAGCGTTAAAAGCAATTCTGGGGGCTGGGCAGGCAACTCAGTGGTAGTATGCTTGCCTTGCACACCTGAGCACCTTTTGATAACTCACACTTACCCCACACTCACTCACACACACATACATACACACACATGCACACACACACACACACGCACACACACACACACACACACACTAAGCCAGGTGAGATGGCACATGCCTTCAGTCCTAGTAAGAAGTAGCCTAAACCAGAAGGATAATGTCAAGTTTGAGGTCAGAGTAGGCTACACATTGAGTTCAAGAACCAGCATGGGCTACAGAACAAAAGAGAGAGAGAGAGAGAGAGAGAGAGAGAGAGAGAGAGAGAGAGA